TGTGGTGACAAATTTCGGACCAGAGGGGATTTTTTGATTTTGAAAATTAAAAAATCTGGGGGGGGGGGGGGGGGGCGCCGACGAGTACAACAAGACCAGCGGCGGACAGATCGGAGAAGGTAGGGAGGCGCGTGAGATTCACGGGCCGCTACTGTATGCGTGTGTGACGGCGTGTGACTGGGCTCCAAGAGGCGGCGCTCCGAGTTTTGGGTTGCCGGAGGATTCTGACTGTTGGCAGGTGGGTATTTTGATTTGGGTAAACTCGAAAATGACAGATTGTAGGCTATGGTGAAAAAGAAAGAACAACTATGGAGTGGAGGGCCCAGGTTGGGGCTCTGATGCCATGTTAAGAACTAATTTTCTTGATATTATATTATATTAAACTAAACTCATCTTACAAGCTATTTATACACAAATTATAATTAATTACACTTCAACTAATCATCTACCAACTAACCACATAATTATACTAATCTCCTACCTAACAACAACTTAATAAATATATATCTTCCAACAGATACATATAAATCCATACTTATATAATTACATTATAAGTAAGCCAAATATTTCAATTTAACACTCCTCTTACAAAGATTGATAACTTTAGAACAATATATTCCATCCCACAATTATTATAAGCACAAAAGCATAGTAGAAAGGGTTAATCACATTATTATTTGCAGCAGCCTCATCAGCTTGCATGTGTTCTTCCACATTGAAGTCACCTGTCCAAACGGTATATAATATATCAGGTTGTTAAATCGCAAATCGAATCGAAAATATAATTTTACTAATTAATATATATAAATCGAAACATAATACTGATCACCTCTTTTAGGACCATAGCTACAACCACACTTGATTGTTTCTCTTACATCTCTAAGAGTAGCCTTGTTATAGAACACAAAGTATTTGATGACATCATCAATGCAGTCCAGCACAAGATACGTCTCCGTCAGGCACGCTCCGTTGCAATATTCGTCAGCATATTCCGGTGGCACGTTTAGCTCCCCGTTTTGTGTCAGCCTGTGTTCTTCGTCACAACTGCTATATATCTGCTAACAAATAATTATTTGTATCAAATAGCAATATATATATTTTTTTTATTTTTTTTTTAATGAAAAACATAAATCTTTTCATTATATTTCTTACATATTTATCATTGAGACATTCGAGGGCTTTGTTGAAGACATGACCTGGATCAGGAAAATTGTCATCTGTCTCTCCTTCACCTGTCAAGAAATTAATATATATAGAATTTCAATGGTAATAGAGGATAAATTGAAAAAAATATAAAATAAATATAAAATAAATTTTCATATATATATTTATATATCCCACCATTTATATTGCATGTAACAGATGTACAAGTGAAAAGAAGCATGTAAATGATAGTTGAAACCAGCAGCAGCCAATGCCTTTTGATGGATGCTGAGAATGCCATTTATTAATTATAGCGTTTGAGAAATGATTAGGGAGCAAGATTTAGATGAAGACGTTTATATATATATATATATATATATATATATATATATATATATATATATATATATATATATATATATATATATGCAGGTCGAAGAAGACTAGCTTAATTAACTTCTACTAGTAGCTAATACGAAAACTTATAGTTTCATATAATATTAATTTATTTACTTTTAAATGAATTCATCTATTAGAGAAAGGGTAAGAACCATGAGTGATTTTGTTGAAATGTGGTTAAATTTGGATGAATAAAGGTGATTTTTCAGAGCTGGAATTCACACCTACAATTGGAAATTAATTTAAAGCAAAAGCTGATAACTTTGTAGATATGAATTTCAGGGTTTATTTTGCATACAGTGTTAGTAACATCTTATTGGTATCTTCTTTTTCACGCCTAGGACTCTAATATAAGAAAAACTTGTATAAATCACTTCTCTATATATTAATGGTTTATGACCTTGAAAATCGAAAATTACCTGTAATTTTTGGTTGGTCGCAGTGTTTCTATAGAACCGTTGATTGTCGATATCAACTTCTGCACCTTGCTGACAATGGTAACCAAGTTAAACACAAAAAGAGTGTTCGTTGGACCAGTAATTCAACAACGCGCGCAACATTTGTATTACTAATTGGACACGTTTAATGCTTAATACATCTCGAATTGTATACATTTCTTCCAATTGAAATGCAATGTGCGTAATTTTTCGCAACTAATATTTAATTACCTTGGATAGAGCCCAATCTGCAGAGTCAAAAAAAGGACCGCTCGTGGTTCTGCATTCGTACACCAACTTTCAGTATCTTATTTTACAAACAACCAAGAGAAGAAACAAATCACAACTTTGCAAAAATTGTAATACATAAGTTTATAATGAAGTAACATAATTAATAATAATTGCACTCGCCTTTGGGATTAAAGGCTTCTTCTTTGGCGCGAGTCCTCTATACTTTCTATCAATCGAGGCAGCCTATCAATCGAGAGAGAGAGACGATGGGCTGTAGTGCAGTACCAGTTAACCGGCAAAACTATTTTCATATCATTTTATCATTTTAGTTTACCATTTGAACCAAGGGGTTGAAGATGGCCCACCAAGCGAGTCCACGTCGAAGGGATCCAACAATATAGATCCTTAGAGGATTCTAGAAGACTGTATTAGTTAATCCTTATGCGGATCTTCTAGAATCTTCACTATCATTGACATTCATTGATAAGATGGAATTGTATAAATAGGAGTAGACTCATTCATTTGTAAGCATCCAATTCTCTTAATCCTGTTCGGTTGATATAAATAATAAAAAAAATTAAAAAAAAACAAATAAACATAAAAGAAAATACTATTTCTTGTTATGCTTAATGCTTACAATCCAACTGTGTGGATGCTTACAATCCAAATCCAACTGTTAAGAGTGGATACTTTCAGAGTGGATTTTATAATGACTCTTTCAGAGTTCATTATAATCCTCCATCGGGGTTAATGACTGTTAAGAGTGGATTTTATAATGACTCTTTCAGAGTTCATTATAATCCTCCACCAATGTGGGAGATTTTGATTTTTCAGAGTTCATTATAATTCTCCACCGATGTGGGAGATTTTGATTTTTCAGTCCACCGATGTGGGAGATTTTGATAGATTTTGATTTTTCAGAGTTCATTATAATTCTCCACCGATGTGGGAGATTTTGATTTTTCTAATAGTTTCCTCTGTAAATACATTATTATACATTCATACTCACCTTCTCTTCTCAACACACACACATTATCATACATTATCATACATTCACACACACACACACCATGGCTGCACATGACCATGCGACTGATGTAATCAAAGATTACTTCATAATCATAAGCCATTTGTGTGGTCAGACCAAGACGCGCAGGCGGGTGTCTAAATCTCTAACTTATTGGCTCATCAAAGAATCAAGTATCATCCCACCACTCACAAGATTCCTTACTAAAAATGTGTAGAAATCAGTTTTATGCTATTCACCTGCAAGAACCAAAAAGAAAACAAAAAAAAAACAACAGATCAATGTTTACAATCAGCATACTATTTCACCTCTACATGCCATATGTATATTGAAAACTTCAGTAATGTATCCATCATGTGTATTATCAGAGTGGAATACGAAATAGATTACATTTGTTCAACAATCAAGTAATTTACTTATCTAGTGTTTCGAAGGCATTTACCGTACCTGTATTACCGTCAGCTTACAAAACTTCACAAACGGCAAAACAAAACAGCAACTTGAACTCATTTGCCAAAAAGTTTTGAGAATCACCCCAACAATTTCTTCAACTCTTTATATCTAGGAGGTGTGAGAAAAGCAAATAACTATCATGTTAGTTTAGAAGCAGACGAGATCCTATAAACATTAGAAACAAATTAGAGTACAAATTCCTTTACCGCCAACATCCGATCATCTCACTTCCAGCCTAAAACCTATGAAATAAGTATGAATATCAGAAAACATAAGATATTGTAGATGTTAGTTTGCTTCTTTTAATAATGAAATTATAATGCTATTAGCATATAACATAAAGATGTTAATTTGCACTACTGTGCCATTACACGTTCACACGGTAACTGGATTCCGCAAAAAAAAAAAAAAAAAAAATAGCAAAAAGATGTTACCTGCATTCTGCAAAAGAAAGAATAAAGCGCTGAAGTCATCAACACATCAAAGTCAAAACTACAGCAATGGAACTAAATAAAAAATAATGAACCACAATTTTTTTGGACAAGCGAAAGATAAAACCAGTATCACTTGGATGTGGAAGGAAGTTACTATAAAGCATGCCGGAAATTTTGCCTTCCATAAGAGCACGTAGACGAAACAACTGGTATTGACACAAAAAAGCAGGCCTTTTTACTATCACGTAAAAACTTGTTTAAGGACCACGTGTTTAAACTTAATGTGTTTCTTATTACTATCGGGTAAAAACTTGTTCAACAAACGAAAGTACGTACTTAAACTTAACCATGTGTTTCTTAGTTGTCAAGCTACGTATTTATAATCGCTCTGAGCGGCGGTAAGAAATAATTAAGGAAAAAACAATGAGTTTAAATAAGCATAAAAAAGTTGCACAAATTAAATTTACCAATTAATAACTCGTCTGTTCAACTGGGCAAAGAGACACCTGATACCACGCCATGTCTGCAAAATCACCGGTTCAAGTAATTTAAAATTCCTCAAAATCACATGCCATCCAGGTGGCAAACCAAGATACAGGTGGGTGTCCAAATGCCTGGCTGATCAGCAACAACATCACCACTCTATTACAATAAACAGAAAATTAGACAGAAAAGAGGCTGAAAATCACAAAATCTGCAGTCATCAACTGTGAATCACACATGAGAAACCATCACCAAATGCTATACACTCGCGGTTTGTGCGAGTGGGCGTGCGTTTTTTGGACATGAAAAGACCCAAATAACCTTTAAATTCCTTTACACATTTGATCCTTACACTATAAATTTTACACATTCGATGTGAAAGAAATGAACACAGTATTGTTTATTATTACTTTATATAGATCAATTTATTCATGGATTATAAATTTATTATACATATTTTGAGTTATACTATAGGCTAAAATGCATCCTCAACATTTTAAATTCTACAGCCTACTCTTCTTCAGAGGCCCCATCTCCTTGGCTTTAGCCCTCAGCAAATGCTTCTGTATTTTTCCAGTGGCAGTTTTAGGCAACGGCCCAAAAACTACAGATTTCGGAACCCAATACGCCGCCATCTTCGATCGGCTGAACTTCATTATCTCCGCCGCCAGCTGTCGCTCATCCGACGCATCAACACCCGGCTTCAAAGTCACAAAAGCGCACGGCGATTCCCCCCACCGCTCGTCCGGCCGTGCCACAACCGAAACTTCTAGAATCTTCTCGTGCTGGTAGAGAATATTCTCCACCTCAACCGTGCTAATATTCTCCCCTCCCGATATAATAATATCCTTAGACCTGTCTTTAATTTCGATATAGCCATCCGGATGCTTCACCGCCAGGTCACCTGAATGATACCAACCACCGGCGAAAGCTTCCTCGTTTGCTTTAGGGTTCTTCAGATACCCCTTCATTACGACATTGCCTCTAAACACGATTTCTCCGACAGTGACACCGTCAGCAGGGACAGGTGTCATGCTCTGAGTGGTCACCACGTCCAAGCCTTCTAAGCCGACGTAACGAACGCCTTGCCTCGCATTCAAACGGGCTTGGGCTTCGGGCGGGAGCGGGTCCCACTCGGGCTTCCAAGCGCATATTGTGGAGGGTAA